ATGAGTAGTGGATACTGGACTAGCTCTGCCACCATAAACAATTACACACTGGGACAAAATATGTAAAATGACTCTTTTCAGACGGCGAACAGTAGGTAGTGAAAGACTGTGGTCCCAGACAGAGGGAAGGAAAGATTTGTCCCAGCTTATTACATGAAGGCACTTTCTGGCCCATGCCATAGCCTGTGGGAGCCCAGGGAGATACTCTTGGTCTCAGTGAGCTGAAGGAACAAGCAGAGTTCAGAGCAGCTGAGGTGGCTGGAATTTGCAGGATATAGTACCAGAAATGAGGGAGCTGTGCGCAGGAGTGCCTGGTAGCACCTTGAGTCTTTGACTGAATAGTGAGCTGTGTGTACTCGCAGCACAACAGTCAGACCAGGCAAAAACACACTACCAGAGAGCTATGAGCAGAATGGAGATTCCAGAGCTCACAGGAGCTGGGAGACACTGGAGTCCTGTATACAGAGTGGAGAGACCTCATTGAATACTCTGAGCCTTTAAGTGACACCCAGAATGGCCTCTATAAAGTTTATAGGGGAAAGCATCTTAGTGGTCTTGTGATAAAGATTTCTTAGGACCTAGTAAATACCATAAACAAAAAATGGTAACTTGGTTGACTTTATACAAATTTAAAACTTCTGCTTCTCAAAAGATGCCTTTCAAAGAAGGAAAAAACTGACCAAACTGAGAAGACATGTGCAGTCCTCTTTTATCCAGAATATGCAAGATAAACAACTCCTACCACTCAATAACAAGACACACAAACCAACTTTTTTTTTAAGGGGAAAAAAGCTTGAACAGGTACTTAATTCATGGTGAAGATCTATGAATGGCTATTGAACATGTGAAAATGCTCAATGTCAATAGTCATCAGGGAAATACAAATTAAAACCAGAAAGATATATCACTTATATACCTACTTAAATGGCTAAGATTAAGAAGACTGACAATGCTAAATGTTGTCAGGGTGTGGAGCAAGCAAAACACTTATACACTGGTAAAATAACTACTTTGGAAATCTGGCTGTTTCTCATGAAATTTAACATATGCCTACCTTGTGACCCAGAAATTGTACTTTCAGATCTTTACCTAAGAGAAATGAGAACATATATACATGAAAATACTTATACAAAAGTGTCCACAGCAACTTTATTCAAAACAGCCCAAATCTAGAAATAACCCAAATCACCATCAACAGGAGAACTGATAAATAAATTATAGTATAATTACACCACAAAAGGAATGTATTATTGATACTTAACAATATGAATGAACCTCAAAAGCATTATGCCGAGCAAAAGAAACCAAACACGAACAATTGTATACCCTAGCATATCATTTATGTGATATGTTCTAGAATAGTCTAATCTATGGCTTATGAAGTCAGATCAGTTGTCATCTGGGGACAAGTGGGGACCAACTGAGGGGGAACACAAGAGCATGTTCTGGCATCATGGAAATGTTCTATATCTTGATAGTTGTATGCAGTGGTTAATCTCATTTGTCAGAATACATTGAACTGTGCATGTAAGATCTGTGTATTTAACTTTATATAAATTATACCTCAACCTGGCTGCACCTTTGAATCATCAGGGGAGTTTTAGAAAATATTGGTGCCTGGGCTCATTCCTAGAGATTTCCGTTTAAATGGTCTGGGAAAAAGCTTGGCCATTAAACTCTCTAGGTGGTTCTGATATACAGCCAAGTAGAAAACCACTGTGTTGAAAGTTGCTGAATTCCAGCCTCTGGGATGTGGACATAACTGATGGGCTCTTATGTTAGCTTACTGGCTGAAATTTTAGCAAGTAGAGATTTATTTAGGTTAGCAAAGTTACTTTATTATTCAAAAGTTCAGAATTGGTATTGCATGATTATGCTTCCATCTTGGTGTCATGAAAATACATACATAATAGTTCTTTGGATCAAGCTACCACCATTTAACATGCTTTGTCAATTGTAGTATGTCAGTAAGGTATTGCAGGTATTGCGATTATTACTGTAGTCATTGCTTTTATTATTGCTTATTACAGCATTTGGTACACGGTAGGTGCACAATACTTAATGAATTAATTAATGAGATCCTGATAGCTATGCTAGTCTCATTGTTAAAATAGACATGTTTGTGCACCTTTCTTCTTTCTGAAATCCTTTTTGCCTCATGTCCTTTCCTGCTTTGCTTGCCACTCTATTTTTCATTCCTTTTGAAATTGTTGTTCTTCCTTTTTGAATTCCAGAGATTAGGTTTAAAGTCGAAGATAATGAAAAAATATCCACAATCTACAAATTTGATATTTCTTTTTAAAAAGATCTGCTTGCCCTGTCCCTTGAGCTGTTTTTCCAGTAAATGAGGGGTTTTGGCAAATGAGTGAAAAAGCCGATGTTTTCAAACACTTCCCTATGGCCAGTGTTACACCAGGGTTAAGAGTACAGTTTATGATTCTAGAACACATTCATCTTTTGTGGAAAGTCAGTGTCCCTGGCTGCATTAGCACCCATATATGACTCACTGTTAATATGCCAAAATATTATGTGGTCATCAAGGGGTAGATGGTAAATTATAGAGCTGTTCTAAAGCGCATGTAAAAAATCCCAATTCAGGGAACTCAGGTTGCTGGACAGCTTCTACTTTTGGACAGAGAGTGAAGCCTTACTCTGTCCCACACTCTGACATCACCCACTGTAACTCCTTCTGCCCCACAAAAATATCTACATACTCATAAGTAGATTTTTTGGCTCTAAGTTAGCAAGTAGTTTTTTGTATTTGAGGTTTTTTAAAATGCATATACCCCTGAAAGGATTAAGGCAAGATCATCAGTCGTTCTAACCTAATGTGAATGTATTAGATCAAATTATATTTGCTAGAACACTCCGTATGGAGATGTTTAACACTGAGGAAACAGAAGGGAGGGCAATTTGGAAGCAAATAGGAAGAGATAGCCCAGTTGGAAAGAGGTACTTAGACAGGGTACAGTGGCTTATGCCTGTCATTCCAGCACTTTGGAGGCCAAATCAGGAGGATTCCTTGAGCCGAGGAGTTCGAGAGCAGCCTGGGCAACATAGTGAAACCTATCTCTACTAAAAATTAAAAAATCAGCCGGGTGTGGTGATGTGTGCCTGTAGTCCCAGCTACTTGGGAAGCTGGGGTAGGAGGATCCCTTGAGCCCAAGAGGTCATGGTTTCAGTGAGTTATGATTGTGCCAGTGCCCTCTAGCCTTGGCGACAGAGCAAGACCGTGTCTCGAAAACAAAAACAAAAAACAAAAAGCCCCAAAACACGAAAAGAAAAGAAAAAAAACAGAGGTACTTGGGTAGGCAGAAGGTGCTGTGATAAAGTTTCTTGGCCTTGGATGACTTGAAAGAGCCAAAGATACAGCTTTCTCCAGTGTCCTTACCTCAGGTAGGATGAGTCCCCTCCACTTTGGAACTGAGATCCGTATGTCTTTGCTTGCTGCCCTGCCCTGCCTCAGGGCCCTGGGGTGATAGGTCAAGGTGTTCTAGGATGCAGACGTGAAGAAGAGAGAGGGCATGGGAAGGGTGCAGCATAATAGTGCACAGGGAGATCTCATGTAAGTGACCACAGGTAAGTGCAGGCAGCTGTGGGAAGTGTGGGCTGTGAGATATTGCCTATACCATTGATCCAGACATAACTACATTCTGGTGTTTCCCTAGAATGCCAGAGGATTCAACATGAGCATACCCATGCCTGGGCATCCAGTGAACTTCTCCAGTGTCACTCTGGAGCAAGCCCGCAGAGATGTGGAGCAACTGGAGCAGCTCATCGAAAGCCATGATGTCATTTTCCTGTTGATGGACACCAGGGAGAGCAGGTGGCTTCCTGCTGTCATTGCTGCAAGCAAGAGAAAGGTAGGCACTGTCTCTAATTATGATTTATGATTTAATGCACCACCACTCCAGAGGGAGGAGTGTCCCTAACCTTCCCTTCCCCAGAGCAGAGATGTGGTTTGTATGACCTGGTAGCATAGTGCCAAAGGGCTTCTGCTTCAGACTCTGTCTTCACCTCACACACCATCACCCAGTGTAATAGGTATCATTTACTGCTTAATTTTCGTAATAATCTTTTGAGATACTCTACACTGAAAGGTATACTGTACTTACATTGAAACGTGAGCTCCAAGAGGACACAGACTTGGTCTCATTCACCATTACTTGGTCAATGACAACTTCGAAGGCCAACAGTGTTGAATAGTGAACTAAATCATGGTGCATACCTATGATGGAATAGTGTGCAGCCATTCACAGTATGTTTTTTTTTTTTTTTTTTTTTTGAGACGGAGTCTTGCTCTGTCACCCAGGCTGGAGTGCAGTGGCCAGATCTCAGCTCACTGCAAGCTCCGCCTCCCGGGTTTACGCCATTCTCCTGCCTCAGCCTCCTGAGTAGCTGGGACTATAGGCACCCGCCACCACACTTGGCTAATTTTTTTGTATTTAGGATGGTCTCGATCTCCTGACCTCGTGATCCACCCGTCTCGGCCTCCCAAAGTGCTGGGATTACAGGCGTGAGCCACTGCGCCCGGCCACAGTATGTTTTCAAAGGACTTTTAATAAGATGGAAAATGCCACATTATATTAAGAAAGATGCAATATTGTATATATTTTATAACAATTATGTTAAATATTTATATATGTCTTCCTATGTATCTACTTATCTGTCTATTGGGAGAGGAAAGAGAAAGAGGGCAAGAAGAAGGGAGAAAGACAGGGAGGGAATGGGAGGGAAAGAGAGAAAATAATAGGAAAAAATACCCCAAACTATTAATGATAATTTTTTGAGCTGTGGGTTGAGTGATTTTTTTCTTTTGTAGTGTGTTTATCCTTTATTTTTCAAACTTTCTATACTATCAGAAATTTGGGATAATAAGTTAAATTAGAACCATGAAAAGTTGTTATAGTATAATGAAAAAAATGTTTTCTTCAAAATTTATGTGTTGGGCTGGACATGGTGGCTCACATCTGTAATCCTAGTACTTTGGGAGGATTGCTTGACACAGGAGTTTGAGACTAGCCTGGGCAACATGATGAGACTCTATCTCTAGAAAAAAAACAAAAAATTAGCTAGGTGTGGTGATGCACACTGGTGCTCCCAGCTACTCGGGAGGGTGAGGCAGGAAGATCACTTGAGCCTGGGAGGTTGAGGCTGCAGTGAACCGAGATCACGCCATTGCATTCCAGCCTGGGCAATGGAGCAAGATCCCGTCTCAAAAACAAAAAACAAAACAAAACAAAATACCAACTATGCAGAGCCAGGCAGGCATGGTGGCATGTGCTTGTAATTCCAGCTACTGGGATACCAAAAAAAATCTACATGAAGGGTGAATTATATGGTATGTGAATTATATCTCAATAAAGCTGTTATAAAAACAAATCTATGTGGATGTGACAGTATAGTATAATGGTAGAAAGAATGTGTTTGAGAACTATGTAGACTTGGTTTTATACACCTGCCTCTTGCCAGATAAGTGACCTTAGGCAAGTTATAGAACTAACTTCTCTGACTTTCAGTATCCTCATCTATAAATAAGAGATGTTTGTTATGAGTTTTTTTTGTTTGCTTTTTTCTTTTTTGGAGATAGAATCTTGCTCTGTCGCCCAGGCTGGAGTGCAGTGGTGGAATCTCGGCTCACTGCAACCTCCACCTCCCAGGTTCAAGCGTTTCTCATGCCTCTGCCTCCTGAGTAGCTGGGACTACTGGCACATGCCACCATGCTTGGCTAATTTTTTTGTATTTTTAGTAGAGACAGGGTTTCATTATGTTGCCAGGCTGGTCTTGAACTCCTGATCTCAGACAGTCTGCCCTCCTCGACCTCCCAAAGTGCTGGGATTACAGGTTATGAGCCATTGTGCCTGGTCTGTTATGAGTTTCAAATGAAATTAAATAAGATAATTTATGATAATTGTGATATAATTAGGTCTTTTGTACTTAATAAGCCCTCAGTAGTGGGTAGCTTTTATCATCATTAACTTTTATAATCTAATTACACTTACATGCAAAAAATAAATTTAAAAAAGTTGAGCAAATATGGAATTAGCCACAGCTTCAAATATATGTGTCTTTTAACTCTGCTCTTTTATTCCTTGAAACCTGCAGCTGGTCATCAATGCTGCTTTGGGATTTGACACATTTGTTGTCATGAGACATGGCCTGAAGAAACCAAAGCAGCAGGGAGCTGGGGACTTGTGTCCAAACCACCCTGTGGCATCTGCTGACCTCCTGGGCTCATCACTTTTTGCTAACATCCCTGGTTACAAGCTTGGCTGCTATTTCTGCAATGATGTGGTGGCCCCAGGAGATGTAAGTGGATTTCTCTTTAGTTCCAAATATTTCCTATCACCAACTTGTGCGCTGAGGCAGACAGACTCGGCCCTTTCATTTATGACTATTTAAATATTATCTTTTAACAAAGAGAAGAATTCTCCAATTTGGGGAGGATGGCATTATCTCATTATGAACCTTGACTGGCGTCATCAACTGTACAGCTGTTCCTTGTTCACCAATATAAACGCGGCTACAAACCCTATTTTTGGAAAGCTTATTGAGGAAACCACAGCAGACTAATCCCTGGTCTCCTGTGCTTCTTTTAGTCAAGACAACATTACAAATTAGGAGTCTAAAGATCAGATTCCATCAGTGCCTTGACACTGCCTCCCAGGTAATTCCAAAAAGTCTCTTAGGTTCCCTCTGCCTCTGCAAAATAGGACTGGTGTGTAGGCTTGTCAGATTTAGTAAGTAAAAATGTAGGATTCCCAGCTAACTTTGAATTTCAGTTAATAATGAATTTTTTTTTTTTTTTTTTTTGAGACAGTCTCGCTCTGTCACCGAGGCTTGAGTGCAGTGGAACGATCTCGGCTCACTGCAACCTCTGCCTCCTGGGTTCAAGTGATTCTCCTGCCTCAGCCTCCTGAGTAGCTGAGACTACAGGCACGTGCCACCACGCCCGGCTAATTTTTGTATTTTTAGTAGAGATGGAGTTTCACCATGTTGGTCCAGCTGGTCTCAAACTCCTGACCTTGTGATCCCCCTGCCTTGGTCTCCCAAAGTGCTGGCATTACAGGCGTGAGCCACCATGCCCGGCCAATAATGAATAATTTTTTAGTATATGTCCCATGCAATATTCAAGACCCACTTGTACTAAAAATTTATTTATCTGAAATTCAAATTTAACTGAGTGTCCTGTATTCTCCCTGGCAATGCTAATAGGGGAGGGAAGAATACTTGCCCTGTCAACTCACAATTCAGTGGGTCAAGTGCGACAGTGCTTTGAACAGCAAGACTACACTGTACAAATTAAGATTCCATGGCTTTCAGAACTTCACACAAGTCTGTCTGTATGTAGGGCTGTTCCTTTATCAGAACAGATAAAAAATTTCCAGTGAGGCAATGCAGAGATGTGTTCTGTAACCTCCCCTCTATTTTTCCTTTGTTTTAAAATTTTTCACTTAATAACTCATATCTCCTTTGGATGACTGGCTTTTATGTCCTCCCAATATAAAGAAAAGAAGATGACCATTCTCTTATATGAAGAAGGATGGCTTGATGATCTCTGTCATGGTGTTATAATATACAGCTGGTCTTGTTATTTAGTTATTGTCAACAAATACGATTAGTGGTCCCTTGCAGTAAAGTCCCATTTGCTCATAAGGTAAAATTTTCATAGAGTCAAAAATATTCCTAACAACCTCTTTAATTTGCCCAGAGTGGGATGGTTAGACTCTCTTTGGTTGAACCAGCAAAGGCTCGTGTTCACAGCCATGTTGTAGGAAAAAAAAAAAAAAAATACTTGTAGTAAACCCTAGAATCACCCAGAGAGGTGATGCCCATGTTGTGAGAGGAACATTGGAACTGAGGGCTGCAATAATAGTAAATTGTTGCTCCCATCTCACGGTCACTTTGAGGTGTTAGTTAAAATGGCAGGGCAGAATCATTTGCACTATTCTAATCATTGTTCCTTTCTGTGTCTCTGTCACTTAACTACCAAGCACAGAACTGAATTGAGTCACATAAAGGAACACATGATGCAGTTCCTTTATATGAGGCAGCTAAGCCCTCATTTTTGGTTGATATCCCCCAATCTGTTTAAGCTGCTGATCCTTTTTAGCATATTACCTCATTTAGTTACCTAAATTGTGTATTTTGTTTTCTTGATAATCTCAAGAAATGATGTACTTGAGGCTGGATGTTCTTTGCTAAGAATGAGCATCTGGTTATACTTTAAAGCTTTGTCACAGAGGATTTCATACTTGAGACAGCTAGAGTTGAATGGAATAGAACATTCAGCACACACCAATGATTGTTTCTTTGCAGTCAACCAGAGACCGGACCTTGGACCAGCAGTGCACTGTGAGTCGTCCAGGATTGGCCATGATTGCAGGAGCCCTGGCCGTGGAATTGATGGTATCTGTTTTGCAGCATCCAGAAGGGTGAGTTTGCTAGTGGGAGATGAGCATTTAAACAAAGCTTTTGTAGGCAGTCGTTCATCAATGTCTCCTGTGGCCTTTTCTCAGTCTGACTTTTCAGAGAATTTCACTACTTTATCTACCCTCAAAAACACAAGACTAGAAAAAGCAGGTCTGGTTCTTTGGGCTGAGATAACTTGGCACGTTTCCTTTGTGGCCACATTTCTGCATCCTTTTGGACAAATTATGGTTTATTTTATTTTTTCATTGCTTATATAGGGCTTACTTTGTGCTAGGCACTGGTCTAAGCACTTCAGAAATATTGCCTCCTTCAATCTTTTTTTTTTTATTATTATTTTTTTAATGAGACAGAATTTCGCTGTTGTTGCCCAGGCTGGAGTGAGTGCAATGGCACGATTTTGGCTCACTGCAACCTCTGCCTTCTGGGTTCAAGTGATTCTCCTGCCTCAGCCTCCCAAGTAACTGGGATTACAGGCATACGCCACCATGCCCGGCTAATTTTTGTATTTTTAGTAGAGACGGGGTTTTGCCATGTTGGTCAGGCTGGTCTTGAACCTCCGACCTCAGTGATCAGAGGTGATCCACCCGCCTTGGCCTCCCAAAGTGCTGGGATTACAGGCGTGAGCCATTGCACCTGGCCTCCTTTAATCTTCATAGCAAACCTGTTAGGAAAGAACTATTATTATTAGTCCCGGTTTTGATGGGGAAATCAAGGCACAGTGAGGATAAGTAAGTGGCCAAATTAACATAGTAAATGGAAAAGCCAGGGTTTAGCTCAATGTGGCTCCAAACTATGTTTAATCACTTTGTTATGTTGTTTGCAATACAGGCAGCAGAAAATCGAATTTTTGAAAGATTTATTTTTCCAGTTCTCAGAAAGTCAATACGCAAATTAACATGAATATTCTATTTATTATGTGACTCAAAGCTTTCCTCAGCAGTTGAAAATTGTGGCTGTATAGGTAACTAGTATGGGTACTCTGAGATAAACGAAAAGCAGGACTTTCTTGTCTTCCTCTTTGTCATCCACCTTAGCTATCTGTCATTTAAGTTTATTGCCATCCTCTGACAGGAAGTATTTGGGACAAAATCTTTGAGAGCTGACTTTCTGCTTTCTTGACGCTGACCACCCGTCTGCCACATTTGCCCTGGTCATAGTTTAAACACCAGGTCCTGTGTCATGTCTCTTTGGTGACAGAAGTATCACTCCATTGTTCAGAGAGTAGTGCATTAGTTTTGCCCAATTCATTCTTCACTTTTATTTCCTACATTTCATTACCATTTATATCAGCTCAAGAAGTTAAGGTTAGAAAATTTTCCTCTTCAACTTTTCAGTGCAGAAATGTTCTGTGATGTTTGATAAGACTATTTCATAGTAAGTGAGTTAATGTTTATTGGCCTCTGATATGCCAAACATTGCACTGGCAATTGGTATAGTAGATTCCTCATTTATTAATCAGAGCTCCCTCATTCCTACTTTCTAGATGATGGATCTGAAGCACAGAGAAGTTAGGCAACTTGCCTATGGTCACAAGCTCAGGTCTTTCTTACTCCAAACTGTGCATTTTAAAATTACTCTTCTTGCCCTTTGTCCCAGGGAAATTATTTTTTTGCTAACTTACACTGCCCAGCAAGGGGCATTTTAGTTATCCTTATGAATCTTATGTAGACTTCTGCTTAGATCATCCTCCCATGTGTTAAACTTGGATTAAATGAGCAGCTCTGATTGTTTCCTGTCCTCAGGGGCTATGCCATTGCCAGCAGCAGTGACGATCGGATGAATGAGCCTCCAACCTCTCTTGGGCTCGTGCCTCACCAGGTTAGTGATTTGGAAGTGAAATCACAATTCTTTTGGTGCAGGGGGAAGGCATGTGGGGTCTCTTTGCCATTCCATCTGCCCAGCCCGCTTCATATCCACCCATTTACCCTGCAGTTGGGATTTCAGTGGGAGAACTTTCCGAACACCTAGAAGGTATTCCATTCTGCAGGATAGTGATGGGAAGAAATCACAAACGAGAAGCATTGCCTAGAGTCTTTGATGCATTTTGTAAACTGACTAGAGGCCTCATAATGCAATAGGAACAGAAAAAAAACGTGCTTTGGAATCAGCCATACAATGGTTTAAATCCCAGCCCTGCCGTTATTAAGATGGCCTTCCTTGGCCAAGTCACTAAACTTCTCTGAGGCATAGTTTTCTTATCTATAACGTGGAGAAAGTAATACTGACCTCACCTGGTAGTTGTATGGATTATGGATGGTTGCTAGAAAGGGCTCAGCAACAGTATATATCATAGGCTCTCAACAAACAATACCTGCTGTTTCTTTGCTGTTGTTCGTTATTATTATTGATTCTGAACCCAAGTAGAAAACATTCATAGGCAGGCATGGGAAAACCACTAGAAGCATGCAGGGTCACCAGAAAGCGGGGTGTCTTTTCAGAAAAAGAATCCAAAGTATCATGAGGAAGTTCCATCCCTTAGGGATTAAAAAGAAAAAGGCAGTGGGATGGACATTTAGAATTCATACCGCCTCTTCAGTCATTTTCATTACTATATTTTCGGGAGATTGAAGAGGTTTTCCAGTCTTACATTTTGGAAATCATTTTTTTAGATTCCACGTATGTATTCTCTCCTGTAATGTGACGGCTGCCCCCATGAGTGAAATGGTGATATTGCCCGCCAGTCCTACCTGGAGATTCGCAAGGACAGACTTAGACGAGTGCAGAGAGCACAGGGACTCAGCTCATGCTTGTCTCTCTCTTCCTCCTTGCCACCCACCTTCTGCCAGCTAGGATGGCACTGTTATATTCCGTTTAGAATAAGAATCAGAAGAGGGGAAATGACTTCTTTATGGTCACAGAGACTTAGTGGATGAGCCACAGTCCATACCTAAACTTGGCAGTCTGACAAATGTTCTTTCAAAGGTCTTGTGAGTCGAAAGATCCGTGGCCTGCATATTGGGAGATTTTGCTTCCTGTTGGGACCTCAGCCCACTTGCACAAAGCCACCCATAATAAAACTTGTGGGCTGGGCGCAGTGGCTCACACCTGTAATCCCAGCACTTTGGGAGGCCGAGGTGGGTGGATCACGAGGAGAGGAGTTTTGAGACCCATCCTGGCCAACATAGTGAAACCTCGTCTCTACTAAAAATACAAAAATTAGCTGGGTGTGGTTGTGTGCACCTGTAATCCCAGCTACTCAGGAGGCTAAGGCAGGAGAATCGCTTGAACCTGGGAGGCGGAGCTTGCAGTGAGCCAAGATCATGCCGTTGCACTCTGGCCTGGGCAACAGAGTGAGACTCCATCTAAAAAAAAAAAGAAAGAACTTGTAGAGTTCACTTAGCCTCCCAGAGCCTCAGTTTCCACATCAAGAAAAGCAGGTGCTTTACTTTGCGTCCAGGATTACATCTGACACAGCCTTGAAAACCACAAAACACTATAAAAATGTGTCCCCCATCCACCGTCCCCTACACACGGTGGCATTTTTTTTTTTTTTTTTTGACATGTGTTAATCTTCTCTACAGAGACATTTCACATAGGACCCAAAAGACACAGTAATAACCATCTATCATAAGGAAGCTGACCTCCAGAGCCGACCTCTGCTATTTATGCTCTCGTATCTCATTTGAATCTTTCCCAAGTCTCCCCCTTCTTCTGACCTTGAGATGTGCCCTCATCTCCTTTACAGACTTTATACTGAGAAGGGCCTTAATTAAATTTTCAGTCATGCCCCTGTACTGGTTTCCTTCTTTAAGTCCTTTATGTTAAATTACTGCAGTTGTAGTTTTCTCAGTGCTGAGGCCAGAGGGCAAAACAGTCTCTTTATAGAAGGGGCCCAGTGTCAAAATGCATGTGCCCATGTTTTTAAAGTGCTATGGCAACTAATCCCTCTCAGTGTTATTTATCCCCATTGAGCCTCACAATTGTTTGTCATTCACCAACTCTTCTAGTTCTTTCTCCTCGTTTTCAAATGTCTGAAGGATTATTTTGGTTGTTGGCCATCTCTTCATTTGCCCTTTTCAAAGACTGAAGAATAACGCAGCCATATATGGGAAAAGCCCAGTGTGTGTGTGTGTGTGTGTGTGTGTGTGTGTGTGTGTGTGTGTGTGTGAGTGATTACTTGCTTACATTATTTCAAGTTTCAAGCCTTTATTTTTAGCTACTTTCTAAAAAAGAAAGTGGAGAAAGAACTTTAAAAATTAATCAGGGTTGTGTGGTCCCCATTTATAGGCTTTAAACAACTTTTTTTTTTTCCTAAGTGGAGTGAGTCCATTTATGCAACCGTGTTTTGATTAGGGGAACATCGTTTCCACAAAAACACTGGGCTGTGTTGCAATGCCCTGTTGCAAACTCAGCACTTCCCTCCTCCTCTTCCTGGCTCTTAGAGACAAATGATTTCCTGTTGGAGAGGAACTTGGTAAACTCCTTTGTGTACTTTGTATGCAAAGAATGACCAGTGAAGTTTACTGGGCTCATTTTTCTCAGTTCCCCAGAGGAGAAGTTTTATTAATTGGCCCCTGTGGAAGAGATGTAGTAGAAAAGTGATAGTCCTTGGACTGAGAATCACAAGGCCCCCCACCAGCAACTCATTGTGTAATTTGGAGAAAGTTCCTTAGCTTTTCCTGTGCTCTCTGGGTCTCTGCTCTCCTCTGTGTCAGACCTAGGAGGCCTGAGGATTACTTAGTTGTTCTGTCTCTGGGTCCACAGGCAGAATTTGGCCCATCCAAAGATTGGCCAAGTGCCAAAAAAAAAAAAAAAAAGGCCTGATTAGGCCCTGAAATTCAGTGAAATTCTGCCTGAAGAAACCTCTTACTGAATTTGAAAACCATAAAAAACCATTTCGGGTGAGCATAAGGCTTATGGGTTTGTTTGGGGGTTTTTTTGTTTTTTGTTTTTTAAGTCTCTGGCCCATTGTACGTGGATTCGATTCTGCAAGCAGGCAGCAGTAAGTATAAGCTAATTTCTGTCTATAAAAAGAATGATTTTTCAAAAAATCATTTTGTTGATGTGTGGAATAGATATAGATTATCACACACATCATTAAGTGGTAATGTGATGAATGATCACAAAATGAACAGTCTTATACCCAGCACACAGATCAGAACAAAGTAACTATCAAGCACCTTCAATGCCCCCCCTCATGCCTCTTCAGATTATTATTGCCTCCTTCCTATAGAGAGGTAAGCACCTCTTGATTATCAATACCATGGGAGATGTTTGTCTGATTTTGAACTTCTGTAAATGAAATTATATAGTATGTACTCTTTGGAATCTATTGTCTTTTGTAGAGGGAGCTTTTTCATTATAAATCTTAGCATAGTAGTGTTGTTCTTTCTGCTTCCCATCAACAGTGTTCTTTTACTTAAAAAAAAAAAAAAAAAAGAAAAGAAGAAGAAGAAAGAAAGAAAGACTGATTTTTCCTGGCTGGTGGCTGAGCTCTGCAAGGCCAGATCCTTTTTCTGCTTCTTTGGTACGAGGCACAGTTTGGGATTTATAAAATGTACAGGCCACTCTTGATATCTCCAGGAAGTTGGTTTGCTGGCTGGTGAGAGATCCTGGATGTGACAGAAATTAACAGCCTGTTAGCCTGCTAAGTCTTTGGCTGTACATCCTCATAGAATGACAACGAGGTGACGAGGCTAGGCACAGTGGCTCACTCCTGTAATCCCAGCACTTTGGGAGGCTGAGGTGGGAGAATTGCTTGAGTCCAGGGGTTCAAAACCAACCTGATTACTCAGAGAGTAACCTGATTATAGAGAGACCCTATCTCTACAAAAAATTAGCCAGGTGTGGTGGCACGCACCTATGGGAGTTTGAGGCTGCAGTGAGCCAGGATCACACTACTGCATTCCAGCCTGGGTAACAGAGGGGGTTCCTGCCTCAAAAAAAAAAAAAGGAATCAAGGTGACGCTACAACAGTTGTCCAAACACCAAGGTAATTGATGGGGCACTCCTGCTTTATCCCACTTGTGGACCAAGCAGTGCACATCTTTTGTCTTTAGGTAAATGAACTCTTGGTTCTAAAGTACTAATAAAAAAAAAGACCCTGAATGTGTATACCATTCTTCTGAGCTTGGAATTGCCAACCCCAGGGTTTTCTCAGCTTCATGAATTATTTTAGCTTCAGAAAGGTAATACAAAGCCAAAACTAGGGCAGGACCTTGGGAGGGATCTGGCCTGGGAAAATTCTAATTGATTCACATGCTGAGGTGGAGCTGGGATCTCTAGCCGTATCTCGGGATATTTGCCCTTTCTACACAGGCTGTGCCCCCCAAATCCTCAGGCCTTTAGATTTTGAAAAAACGTCTTTACTGTGTTCAGAAATACTTATCTCTGTGCTCCTAGGGACATGGACAGATGGACTGCTGAAGAGGGAAATCTTAGCAGATAAGCAATAAGAACATATTTCCTGAGATGTAGCCCAGGAGAAGACCCTCCTTTCCCCTCTGGTTCTATACCTCTCTGGTTGATGATGATGGATATAGCAGAAAAAATGGGCAGGCCTTATGTTTCACTGTATCAAGTGTTATGGTTTGTGACCTATTCATCTTATCTCCTTCCTTCCATCCAGCCATCCCCTCACCAGGTAATCTGACTGCCAAGTGCCAAGCACTATGAAGTTCAGAGAAGTTAAGTAACTGGTACAAGATCCACCCAGTGTTGAGTTTCATTTGCGTTCGGGGTAATCTAAGGTGATGGATGTATCCCAAGTCATTTGGATGCAGTAGAGTCTGGTTCCAGTGGGGAGGTCTCTGAATACAAGGAAGGATCTGGGTATACGTCTAACAATGTCTGAGTTTCCTCTGTGAGGTTCCAGAAGC